GGATTATCTACGCACGACGTGCTGTTAATATTGGTGTACATTCGCTTGACTCGTGGTCTTTAAGGACCGGTGTTATTTTAATCATTGATTCTAATATGTCCTACTTAAATTATTAGCATAAATTTCCTAATAAGAATTTGTTAAAAACCTTTAAAAATGCAACAAGTAAATATAAAAAACTAAGAAAAACATCCACGGTCCTTGTGCTTTGAAAAAATGGAAAAAATGTAGTCCTCGAATTATTTTTTTATTTAATTCGATCATTCAACTCAGAAAATAAACTCTAGGTGGCATTTTGATCACTGTTTTTATGTTAACCATTACGATGATGATTGGCAATTCACAAGGGTGATATGATGAATCACGGTATTGGTATGGCGATCCACAATATTAATGATGTGGTAGATGGACTAAATTGATTTTTATCTTGTTCAAGGACCAAATTAATTTTTTTTAAAGTTGAGGTGTTTATATAATTTTTTTAATTATTTAAATAAAAGTAAATTTAAGATAAAATTATATAAAAAGTTCCTATTATATCCATGAAAGAAGTCGGTTAATCATTTATTTTTATATATTTTTATATAAAATTTAAGAAACAAAATTTTAAGCTAAACTACTAAACCAACTTGAATTTTTAAATATTTTTATAAAAATAATAAATATATCATATATTTGAGAACGAGTTTTCTCAGTATTTCCAACACATTCTCTCGACACTACTGATACTTTGTCGGAATAAAACCATCCCAACATTGCAATTGACAGTGTCAAAAGTTGACGAAACAGATATGTGAAGGAAGTTCCTATTATATCCGTGAAAGAAATCATGTAACACCACGCAATTGCCATACCATCATCACATTAAGTCATTAGCGGTGGAATTGTATAATTAAACTTAAAATTAAATGTTACTGCTAAAAATAGCAAAACTAAAAATTTTATGATATAATAGAATTAAATATTAAAATTAAAATTAATAAAATTTAAAGTTTAATGACATAAATGAGTACCACTCAAAGTTTGGTGGCATGAGATAGTTTTCCCTTTACTTTTAAAGCTACGTGTGCTTTAGAGGAGACCCGTAATTCTTCAGTACTGCTCGAAGTGAAAACAAAGGAATGGCACCAGCGAAGAAGGGAAAGGCAAAAACCCAGAAGGCAGAGCCGTCTCGTCCCACTGAAAATGACTCCAAATTACCATCGTCCATCCGCCCGGTCCCGCCCTCATCTGTTGCCATCGCCATCCACGCCAAACCCGGCGCCAAATCTTCCTCCATCACCGGTCCACTACTCTCTCTCTCTCTCTCTCTCTCTCTCTCTGCTCTCAATTTCCTATTGAAAATTTCTTTATTTTGTTTCTATCATTCACGATCTATTCTTTACCTTAATGGGGTTTTTCTTTTCTTTAAAATTTTGGGATGAGCCCAGATTTCAGCGACGACGCTGTAGGTGTCCAGATTGACGCGCCTGCCAAAGACGGTGAAGCTAACTCTGCACTTCTTGATTATATCAGCTCGGTCTGTTCCTTCTTCCTTTTCTTCAATTGTTGTTGTTTCATTATTTTTTTTTTGCTAATCGAAGAATTGGTTTGGGTTTATTTAGATGAATATCTTGTTAACAATCATAAAAAATTCTATCATTTTTTGTTTATTTCCTTGATTGATTCCAAAGATGAGAACCCATTTTTCAACTAGGTAGGTAATATTACATTGCTGTTGTCATCATTTGGTGAGATTGGATTCTTATTTTAAGAAAATGAATCAATTTATTTGGAACCCTTGAACTGTGCCCGCCCATCTTTCTTATGTGTGCGTCACCGGCTTGTTAGAAAACATCTTCCTTCTCCCCAGTGCTAAAGAATCATGGCAAATGAACAATTCCATGAGAATTAAGCATTTTAGTCTTAATATCAAAATCTTCTTGCTCTTATATTGCCTTCAATTAAATGTCTTCTCGCAGCCCTGAACTAAATGATTTCAACTAGAAATGGAACTTCCGCCATAATCTTCCATCTCAATGATAGGAAAGATCAGATGCTTTTAGCTTCTTGATTACTTGTAGATTTGTATGTAGCTGTTCCATTTGTCATTTGTTGTTCCAGTTCATTTAGTGCACAATGAGATGATTGCGCGAGCATATGTTGGCTTGGAAAAGGTTTGTAGCATTGAGGAAGTAAGGATAAGACTAAATAGATTATGAATGAGATTAATGTACTGATCCGGAACCTCATTGGGTAAGATAGATACCTGAATCTACCTTAATACCAACGATACATTACTTGAAAGTTATTGATAATTGTAGCTTTGAGCTTTTATTCTTCTTGGAGAAAAGTAGTCTGTATATGTTTGTGTTTATGGCTCAAATGATAATACAAAGTATATGAAGTGCTAGTTTATCATGGATGATGGCTATTGTAGATATGTGAGGTTATTTAGAATGGCGTAATACAAAAAAATTGTATCATATTCCTTCATAAATTACTTCTCTTCAATGTGCTGCCCCCCTTTCCATTTGTCTTAAAACTTATAATTCTTCCAAAATGACAGGTTTTGGGAGTCAAAAGAAGGCAAGTTTCAATAGGCTCTGGCTCTAAATCAAGAGATAAGGTGGTAATAGTTGAGGAGATTACTCTGCAGACTGTATTTGATGCTTTGAACAAAGCATCCAAGGGCTAGCAATGGAGAGACAATGTGAATTGCTAGTTACTCTTACGATGCTAGTTCAAGCCACTGATGATATTCGGTCGCTTCCTTGATTCAAAAGATGTTTAACAAAAACAGTTCATACGGGGTCAGTCTTCCGAAAATTCTTGCAAAACTTGGAAAGGGGGCCCTTTTGGCTCGTTTCACTTGTAAAACAGTTACCTAATCTAGATAGTAGTGGCAGTCTTGATTAACTTAGGGCTTGAATTAGATGGATGGCTAGTGGCAGACAATTGTGACGACCTTGACTAGGACCGAGGTACTTGTACTTGTGAATAAGAGTAAATGTGAACTTGCGATTTTCAAAAAATACCCTACAGTTATATATTTTCTGTCAGATATCGTTCAGGTTATATTTATCGATCTAATATCCTTTTGCAGAAAGGTCTCCTACACAGCGTTTTATGTGCGTAGAGTAAGGCGTGCCCCTGCAACGTGTTTTGTTAAACGTGTAAAAAATTCGGATGTTAATTTTGTAAGTATTTTTAAAGTGATGTCTAATATGTAATTAATTTCTGTTAGGGTGATATTTTTGTAAAAACGTCAACTTTATCTATTTTTTTTTTTATATTATTTTTAACAATAGTTAATAATATTTTTTTACTTTTAAAATTAATTATTTAAAAATATTAAAATAAATTTTTAAAGTGATGCCTAATATATAATTAATTTTTGTTAGGGTGATATTTTTGTAAAAACGTAATTTTATCTATTTATTTTTTTGTGATATTATTTTTAACAATAGTTAATAATGTTATGACTTTTAAAATTATTTATTTAAAAATATTAAAATAAACTTTTAATTACAAATTTTTTTAAAATAAAGAAAAATGAATAAAATTTAATAAAAATATAATGTAAAGTTAAAAATATTACATCTTTATTTAAAATATTTTTTTAATATTAATTTTAAAAAATATAAAATAAATATTAAATTTTAATTTTAATTTTAATTTTATTAAAAATGAATAAATATTATTAATTGTTGTTAAAAATAATAATTAATGATGAGACAAAATAGTTTTTGTGAAGATTGAGCAGAAAAGATCAACTCTTTGATCGGATATTTATTCGTGGTATAATTGAGTTGATATTTAGACAACAGTTAGACAATTTTAAGTTATTGACTTTGTACAATCGAATTTTCATTCGATTCCTGTAGCTTTCCACACCTACGACTGTTTAACAATCATAAACTTGACTAAAATAAACTTTTAATTACAATTGAGGATCAAATGCATTATTATTCATTAATTATTATTTTTTAATAACAATTAATAATGTTTATTCATTTTTAATAAAATTAAAATTAAAATTTAATATTTATTTTATATTTTTTAAAATTAATATTAGAAAGAGTATTTTAAATAAAAAGTGATATTTTTTAGCTTTACATTATATTTTTATTAAATTTTATTAAATTTTATTTATATTTTTTAAAAAAGTGAATAATAATTAATTTGATATCTCAATTGTAATTAAAAGTTTATTTTAATATTTTTAAACAATTAATTTTAAAAGTCAATAAACATTATTAACGGTTGTTAAAAATAATATCATAAAAAATAGATAAAGTTAGTGTTTTTACACATATATCACTCTAACAGAAATTAATTACATATTAGGCACTACTTTAAAAATATTTACAAAATTAACCCCATTTTTTTATACGTTTAACAAGGCGCGCTGCACGGGCGCGCCATATCAGCCTAAAGCGCGTTGCAGGAGCGCGCTTTACTGCAAAGGGTGTTAGATCAAAAAATATAACCTGAACGATGCATGACAGAGAAATATATAAGTGTAGGGTGATTTTTGAAAAAATCGCCAAATATTTTTGCCTAAGTTAGTTTAATGAATATTTGCATATTAAATCATGTTTTTATGAATGAATGTAAATCAAATTTTCTTTTAAAATTGCACTTGGTACTTGTGTAAATCCAATATTTACAAATTAGTAAATGAGACTAGATAGATCGCGAGTTACTCGAGATTGATTCGGTCAAGGCTTGATAAATACTCGGATCGAATGGATTCGACTTGAGTTCTTAACGAGTCAAAACAAACTACTTGATATTTGATTCGAAAAGCTCGTGAACAGATCAAAAATATAATATATTAAGATTTTATTTTTTAAAAATAAATTATTAATAATATTAACATTTATGTGTATTTTTTTTAAATACATTAAGATTTTCATGTATTTAAGATTTAAGTTTGAAGCTTCAATCGAATTTAATTTATGAGTAAAGTAGAGCTATTACAAATAAATCAAGTTTGTTGCTAACATCTCGCCCTCCTCTACCCCTCTTTCCTGAAAATTCAGAACCACAACGACATCTTTTCAGATATTTAATCGATCTATTTTCTCTGTTTCCTTCCCCTTCTCCATTCTTTATTTTTTCTCCCGCCGGCGGATCTATGATAAATATTTGATTACTTTTAATTTTTGTGAATCTTTTCTACGTATGGGGTGGATGTTTATTATTCTTTCAATTTTGGTTGTTTGGGTAGCATCTGTTTGGAAGATCTTCTCCTCCCGCCCAGAACCCTCTTTTTTAAATGAAGGTGGCTCCAGTACTTTTAGATCTTTTGTCCAACAAAAAATAAGTTAATTTCGTTTCAACTAATTTTTATATGCCCATTGTTGCCAGATTCACCTTTACCCGCAAAGAATGTCTTGCTGGTTGTTGCGCACCCTGATGATGAATCCATGTAAGCTTCTGAAAGCCTCTCTTTAATTTCCCATTTTGCAGATTGAATTGACTTCTCGCTTGGTTTGTTTCATTTATTTATCTTTATGATTTTGTTTTCTGAATTTCGGATGCTATCAAAACTAAAATCTAGTGATCAGAAAATGATTGATTGATTAAATGCTTATGAATAACTATATTATCAGTTTATATGAGTAAGCTCATGCATTTTATTTTGTTTTTTTAATTTTTTTCATAAATATTAGTAGTTGCATTTTTATCTAATAAAAATTTTCTCTTCATGTTGTCATAGTGTATTTTTTAGTGAATTTACGGATAATGCGACTAAATGTGGTAGATCAATTACTGTTAATTAGTATTCATGAGTGAACTCATTCATTTTATTTATTTGGTGTTTTCAATTTTTAATGAGATTAGCAGTTGCATGTGTATCGAAATATGCATTTTGCTTTTGGTTGTTTTTGAGTCAATTCATGGATAATATCAGTAGCGCGTGCAATTTCATCTGCAAATGGTTTGCTTGATTTAATTTATTACCCCTTAAATTGTTTGCAATACAAGTGACAGCTTTGCTGTTGCATATCAGTTTTTGGTATGAAAGTTTCATTTATGAATGTTTGGTTATATCAATTTATTATAATGATCTATAATGTTGCAGGTTCTTTTCACCAACAATAAACTACTTGACTTCAAGAGGGCACACTGTTTTTCTATTATGCATGTCTATTGGTATTGCATTTTCATCCTTATGTGGCCTGATCTTTTTTGCTTTCTAATATTTCTTGTTACTAGAAACATTTTCTTCAGAATTTTACTTCAAATGATGCCAGCCTTCTTCTATGTGTAAGTTGATATCTAATGAAATCAACAACTGAGAGTTTGAGTTTTCCATGGTGTTTCCTTTAAAATTCTCCTTTTTTTGCTGAAGGTCTTACATGAAAGGGGAAACTATTGGAACTTAGACACTTGGTTGCAAAAGAATTATGAAATTTATTTACCATAAAAATGTCTCTTTCTGATAAGAGTTGGAGGTCTCGTTAAAAAACCCCTTCATGCTTTTTGGAATACTATAAAGTTATCCGAAATGTAGCAGAAGGAGGAAAAGAGTACCTCGGATTTTGTTACCACATGAAATCAATTACAAAAATCATCATAAAACCTCTCCAAAACAAGGAGAATCCCACACTTCATCTACACCTAGTAACCAGCCCAATAATCCCCAGCCTCCTAAAGGACAGAAACCTCTACCCTATTCCTTGTTTTTCTAGTTCATCTGCTTTCACATTAACACTCCTCTTAACACAACGAAGTACAATTGCCCGTTCACTAATAACTGGTACAATACCTCTAACCATAAAAATGTCTCTTATTTTCAAATTACGATATAGATGTAGTTTGGATTGCTAGGCCCAAGGCTTTAAGGATAAAGGATGGTATCTCTAGAGATTGGTCATCTTATATTTAAAGTGTGTTAAGCTTCTAAATAACTTCTAATGGTAGTTGTAAAACTCTAAGCCAATTAAAAAAGGTAAGTTGTAATCAATCTCTTTCACAACATGTTTTGTTCATTGCAGCTTCAGAGGGTTTATTAGGCAATACTAATGTAATGTAGCCAACTCAATACCTCGGGATATGCATTAACAGTGCTCTAATCTACTTCAGAGGGAGATTCTGTTTTCATCTATCTCTTCTTTTAGTTTATGGTGGTTGGAATCCATTTTCCTATGCCAAGTGGTAGTTTTGTGTATTATCATTAGACTATATGTCCAGCCACCATCTATGCCTCTTCAAAAGGGAAAAGAGCATGGTAGAGGTCAGAAACAAAAACGTTGGCATGTGTTCTATAAAGACAGTGTTCCTTTTCCCCCACCCATGGGATTATGCGACTTGATTACTTTGTGCAGGTAATGCAGATGGCATGGGAAGCATTAGAAAAGATGAGCTTTATCGTGCTTGTGTAGTTCACAAGGTGATTTTATTATCCTACAAAACATAGATGAGATCTAACTGCTGAAGTAATCCTTGTATTCTAATACCTACAACAACCTGATTCTGGGTTTCTCTAGCTAAAAAATATCCTTGCATCTCATGAAATCTTTACTATTTTCAACTTCATCTACCAACTATACTGTGCTTTTAGCTTCTTTTTTTAAAATTTGTAAGTTCAGGTTCAACTTGATCGAGTGAAGGTTCTGGACCACCCAGATTTGCAGGTTATACTATTAAGTCTTTTTTAGTTTATGGATTTTGAACTGCTCTATTCATAATTTGGTATGTTTGCTTTTGGAAATTGATGCTTTTTCATTTGCAGAGAAAAATACAAAAACTTGTTTGGCTGGATATAGCACGAGGCCTATCTAATCTTGAATCTATTGTTAATTGATAAAATGATTTAGTAGGAGTTTATAATCTGAATTTTCATATCAGGATGGTTTTGGCCGAGTCTGGAACCATGATTTATTGGAAAATATCATTGAAGAGGAGGTTTATGGTCTGGTGATTGATGTGGTACACTCTTAGCTCTGTTGGTTTTTTCACCTGCATGCTTGGTTGCTTTATTTCATTTAAGATGATTTTTTTTCAATGCTACTGTATAAAATATCCAACTCTCCAAGTTAGGCTAAGTAATGGATGTACTTGGGAGTGGGAGCAATATACATCATTTGAAAGTTTTTTATTACTGCTTGTTTGTTAAGATCTTTCATTTCCTATTTCTCTTATTCATGCTTCTATTTATTTTTCAGATTATTACATTTGATAGATATGGTGTTTCGGGTCATTGCAACCATGGTGATGTGCATTGTGGGGTACGGTAAGTTAAAATCATTTTATTTCTTCAACTCAATTACGCAGAAGTAAAATTTTAAATGTTCATAGCATAACGCATTAGAAGAAAATAAAATGCCTACTGCCTTCATATCACTATTTAATGCCGTGAGTTCTTAATTACAAGGGCTTGCGATTTATTCTTTCTGTATCTGGTCCTCTAATATTTCTACCATTTCTAGATGGGAGTGTATGCCGTATATCTTGCTTTAGAAACTCACCTTTTTCATCATTTTTTCATTATTATTTGAAAAATGAATAGGATATTGTAATAACAATGTTTTCACGAGTAACACTAATAACTTAAAAATTTATGTAAACATAAGAGAAGTTGTATTGACTTTCTATCTACCTCAACAATACTAAGCAACAAAACTAGGCCACCAACAATTTTGGTTCAATCAGAAAGTTCTTCACCAATAATAAACAAAAAGGGGTCACCATTAATTATAACGGTTTTAGATTCCACTGAATTCTTTTTTACTTTCTTTGTCTCATATTAACAGCAAGTTCCTGCATGATTCTGCACCAGGAAATATTGAAGCCTGGGAACTTGTAAGTTGCTTTCTACTGTTTTCTAAACATATTTTGTTAAAGACGGCATTAGCTAAATAAAATAGTTTTTCTGTTTTCCATTTTACTTTTTCTTTTGGTGGCTAATTAGGTTCCAAGCTGACTGCATGGGATATTTTCTTTATTAATTTTTTTTTTTTGAAAAACTACATTTTCAAATCTCAGTTCATTTCCCCCAATTATTTAATTATATAAAAGGGTTTGATATGCCCTAATTTTTTTATGCTCCTGAATCCATTGCTGATCATAAAAATTAAGTAGCAATAGGAAAAGAAGAGGTCAACACAACCAGTTTCTGGTTTAGGTCTTGTAGGTTGTTGCTTGTTTTGGTCCATATGGACCTGTCTGTGCAAGCTTTGCCTTCCTGAAAACAACACCGCATTGCATTCTTGTGCAAAGTTACCTAACTAATTTTTCATGATCAAAGATTTACTAGCATCAATTTTTCCACTACTAATTCTCTTGTATTTTTCTCCCCATCTATTTGACATAAAAATTTAAGTTGAGACAACTTTCCTTCTTTCTTTGTTCCTGGAACCCAATGAAATGATTTTCTTGTTGAGTTAATCTAGAAATTAGAAGTTGGTGGCCAAGTTATTGCATCGAGTTAGTGGAGGAGAAAGACCCTTGAACAAATCAGTGGCCTTGATGAACTTTTCTCTATATGTGATTTAGCCTATTATGTTATTTCTGGGCTTTTCCCTTTATTTTTGAATTATGATACTTTTGCCCCCATTTGTTTTAGGTGAGTATAAACATATTGCACAAGTACAGTGGACTATTTAGCATATTATGTATTTTCTGGGCATTTCCCTTTATTTTTGAATTATGATACTTTTGCCCCCATTTGTTTTAGTTGAGTATAAACATATTGCGCAAGTACAGTGGACTGTTTGACATTTGGATTGCAAGTTTGGATGTCATGCGACATCCGAAGGGTCTCAGGTATTGCTTGCTTAATGAGCATCCACGGAAGAGCTTCCTGGCAATGTCACAACACTCAAGCCAATGGGTTTGGTATGTATCTTTTCCAATAAAGTAACATGGCCAATGGTTGTGAAAACAACATTTCTTCTCATTTTCTTTCTGAAATTAACTACTGGTTTTGTTTATGAATGTAATTATATAACTCATTGATTAACCATAACAAATTCCTTATTATAGGTCTCTCTGGATCATCTCCTTGATTCAGCATTTTTTTTTGAAACTCCAGTGTAGCATTTTTTGTTTATATTTTTGATACTGTTTTCTTGATTTTTTAATGTTGGTTTTGCAGGTTCAGAAAACTTTTCGTGGCATTTTCTAGTTATACTTACATTAACACTCTTAGAAAGATCAAGTGATTATAGTGGACTTGAAGGACAAAGCTGCTTAAGATTTGTGCCTGTTCATATTTGAGGTATTTCTCTGCAGTAACTCAGGGGCTGCTACTTGTTACATGTACCACTTTAAATCGATATCAGGCAGCCTAGTTTAAGTTTTCACAGTCTATGATTCGAAGTGAGCAAATTGAGAGCCCATTGACTGGAAAATATAATTCTTCCATTGTTCAAAATTGTAGACCCTTACACCGAATCTTTCTATTGGGTACATTGCTTACATCATGGTCCAAAGGCATTTGGTCAATTGGTATCTATTTTATATTGGTCTCTCTTTTAGTTTGTTTGACGGCAGTTTGAAGGCATAAAACTAAAGTTTGGATGATGACAGTGACTTTGGCAGTGGGGTGGCAAAATTTTCGTACTTTGGTACAACAAAAGTTATCTTTAGTTTGCCATTGCTCTTTCGTCTTCTGCCTGAAACTTTGACTTAATTCTTACGCTAGCATCTTGAAAGATTATCTTCAGTCTCAAAAGTGATGTTTGGATGCCATTTTACGAGACCCCGGTTATACATTTTGTTGTGAGCATTGCTTGCTCTATTATTTTAGTTTTATCATAAAACTGCGAATTATGTTACTCTAGGGAATGAACCTGACCTTTCTCCGTGTGAAACTCATAATATGTTTGCAGATTATTTAGTGCCAGGATTTTCTTTCTGAACACAAATTTCTTCTCCCTGTTATCCGTATATATATGTGCTTGTGTGTGTATACTAAGAAGAACAGTAAGAATGGTGTATGTGTGAATGATATCTCGAAATGTGTAATGTAGGAATGGGAAAGTGAACAGGTTGATGATGTTTGTTGCGGCTTTAGATTTAAATGGCTTTCCAAGCTCAAATTTTTGAAAAGTGACCTTGGTGTTGTGGGACATAATGATGATGAAAGATGGCTAACAATGTCAGTGAAGTCCAGTTATAACGGACTGTTTTCTAAAAGAAATGGCCATATGAGGCTGTACACTAGAGATTGGCTCTTGCATCAGTTTCTTTTTTGTTAATAACAATGTCTGAGAGTCGAGTTTTGTCGATGTACCTAAGCTCGTTTGGCAAGGTAGGGCAAAATGTTGATTGTCAGTTCTGTTTTAATTGTGAATGTGGCTGATTAAGAATTAATCTTTTCCAGGCCTGGGGTCTGTAAGTTGGAGATTTCGTAAAGCTGAACATTGCATCGGTTATTCTCTGCTAATGAGAATGAAGTTTCGTTTATGTAGTCGTGGTTAATTATCTAAAATTGGTCAATTGAGGACCAACATTTCCAGGTTCCACCAGATCAGGGTTTCTAATAATCATCCTAGTAAGAAGAAACTTGAAGAAGAGGGAAAAGAAATAATCCAAAAAGAAAAATCCCCAAATCATCCAAAATCTTGAAATTTACTGTTATGACCCAATTACAATTTACGCCAATGCAACATACATCAACCATAGTCGAGTCAGCACGACAAGAGTACTCATGAGAGAAACGTCCCAAGGCTTTATAGATTTCAACAATATTTTCATGCCTTTGTTTCTATCCTCTATTGCCTATACATAACTAGTTGTAGTAACCAACTAAACCAAATCGATAAAGCCTTGGGATGCTTAATGATTGATGTGTGTTGCATTGGCGTAAATTGTATTTGGGTCATAACATTTACTAATCCCTAAACCAAACTATATAAAATTATTTTCGATAGCCAAAAAAAAAAAACCAAGGAATGCAAAAAAAGAAAAAAATTCTTTTAACTATACACCAAATATTTACAATACCAAAAAGATAGTAAAAAGAAAGGAATACCAACAATGCAAGGAATATGTTATCCGCATCGCTGCAGTTCTGTCGTCAGGGTGGTTAGTGGTTCGTCATATTTCAAGGGCGATTAATATTGAGGCGGACTGCCTAGCCAAAAAGGGCATTGGTTGACCATCCAGATAGTTAAGAAGATTGGTTAGGCTTGGTGTATTTTTTGGCAAGTTTGTTTCCAGAATGTTGCTTCGTGCATGGCTCTCCTCGGGGAGCGTCGTTAGGCGGGGTTTCGGCGTGTTGAATGGGGTGCTTGTGCTGCTTTAGAAGTTATAAATTGTTGAGCTGTATTGTGTTTTTTGAACCTTTTATATATATATATATGTTGTTTATTTGAACTGAAATGGTATTAAGTTTAAAAAATATATATGACCACTCTTTTCCTCCTTTTGAGTGCTCGACCTAAAACTCCGGTTCTTGGTCGATTATAAAGGAAGGTTTCAATGAGACCCTTCTTTTCTTCAAAAAAAAAAAAAAACATGCTAGGAATATCAATATTGTCCTTATAATATTAATACCAACAATCTTTGGTGTCGTAACCGTCCTTCGGATGGTCCCGAAATCGGGTTCCGACTTGATTTGATGTGTTTGAGCCACCACCGACCGTTTTAAATTAGATTGATCGGACACCTTAACTTACCATTTATTTGATATGCGTTTTACCAGGAATTAATCGGATTCGGGAGTCGATTATAGTCAATGAATGATTAGCACCCTTATACTGCCCTTTCGGTACCAATTTGATTTCCTAGTTGTCTTAATTGCGAAAATTACAATTGAAATTAAAATTTAAGAAATTCGATCGAACCACTTACCTTGACCAATTTTAGAATAGCCTAAGAAATTATGAAATTGATGTTAAACAAGAAAAAGGTTGAATTAAAAATATAAAATAAGAATAAAATAAATAATAAAGAAAAAAGTTAAATTTAAAAATATAAATACTAAGAAGATTAAATTGAAATAAATTGAAATTTATGGGTCAAATTAATTCTAAAAGTGAGCTGCAAGAAAGAAAATAAAAAAGTTAGGGGCCGATTTGCAAAATATGAAAAAACATAAGCAGAGATTAAATTGAATTAATTCAAAATTCAAAGGAAAAATTACAATAGGTGTCTAAAATGAATTACGCATCAAAAGTACAGGGATTACAAAAATAATTTTAAAAACTTGTAATTGCAAAGAGGTTCCCCTTATATAAAGCCTTTGAAACCCAAAATTTTTTCATTTCAAACAATTTTCTAAAAACCAAACCCGCCTTTTCTCTCAAACTCTCTCTTTCTTAGCCAGCCAACCTCCGGTGACCACCTGTCGCCCGATCGCCGTCTCAGCCACCGCCTCTGAAAGTCGAAGAATCTAAAACGACCCCCTAAACACTCTTTTCAATACCCCGACGTTGAATCTTGCCTTAAAAATTTGAAATAATGCCTCGATCGAAGTAGATCTAGGCCTAAAGTTTTGGTTTTTACCTTTGTTCGACGACAACCTTCAGGATTCCGAGCTTTCTTTCCTTCCGAATGGAGATCGAAGCTTGACCTTGATGATTATTGCTTTTTGGTGCTCTTTTTGTTAGTTACTTAATTGATTTTTTTTGCTTTGTTGTACGATATTGTATACTACCTTCTTGTGTTTCTCTTGGTTATTCGTGGTGAATCTTCTGGTGTCTTGGTTGTTGTCGTGTATCTCGAGATGGTGCAATCCCGTTCGGCGTTCATGGCATGACTTTTTGTTTTCGAACGTTTTTGTTCCATAACGTGCATCGATCTTTCTGTCCCGATTTTTACAATTTTCTCAGTTTATGGTGTTGAAAATATCGGTCGTTGGGTGACTTTGCTGGCGCGTGATCTCCACGCACTGTTGACTAGTAAACCAATGTGTTTTCGGCCGTTGGATCAAAGAGCCAGATCCAACGGCTCTGGTTGATGCGACGCCCCTGCTAAAGTATGAAACCCTAGTTGAATTGGACTGGATCAAGCACTCTCCTCCTAACCAGGCCTGCTTTGTTGGGTCAGACTGGCATGGTTCGGTTGGGCTCCTTTGCTGGACTTTTGGACTCTTTTATTAGACCTATATAAAAATAAAAGAAAATAAATAAATAAAAGAAAACGAAAAATAAAATACTAATAATATGTATGTATTAAAACTATATAATATATTATATTTCAAAAACAATATAATGTGTTTTCAAAGATTATATATATTATATGTTTTCAAACACCGTTTTAAAAACTATATATTATACGTTTTCAAAAATATTTTTTCGAAAACTATATTATATATGTTTTCAAAAACCATTTTTTAAAAAACTATATATTATATGTTTTCAAAAACTATATTATATATGTCTTCAAAAACCATTTTTTAAAAACTATATATATTATATATTTTTGAAATTATTATATATACATTATCATATATACTATATAATGTAATAAAGACTCTTGAAGTTCCTGACGAAAAATAAGTGTCTATAGTTACCCCTCTTTACCCATTTATCATGTAACAAGAAATAGGGAAAAGATAAAAAAACATGAATTTCCTGTGAATATGATATCTTTTATTGCATTTGAAATATGACTTAATGTTCTAGTCGAGGCTCTTATGAATATCCTCCGTCGCGGAGTTGAAATTCGACTCAAAAACTCTGCCAGGGAAAGGCTCACTATTGTTGAGATAAATTACGGATGACTCTTTCGTCGTGAAGTTGAGATGAATTACGGATGATTTGAACACGATATCCTTTGTCATGAAGTTGAAATTGTGGTTGACCCCTTCATCGTGAAGTCGAGTCAAATTTAGATGGTTCGAGCATGATATCTTTCGTTGTGAAGTTGAAATCTAGATCGATGCTTAGGTTTGGCGGTAATCCCTCGTAGTTGATTTGATCTTGAGTCTTCTTCTAGCCCAATCTTCATCGTGAAGTTGAAATTTGACTATACGACCTCAGTTGAGAAATCATTCTCCGTCGTTGAGTTGAACTATGTTGTGGATGACTCCTTTGATGTGAAGTTAAGTTGATCTCGAATTCCTTGGGCACGATGTCCTTCGTTGTGAAGTTGAAATCATGGGTGACTCCTTCTTCGTGAAGTTGAGTCCATATTGAATGTTCTTCTGAGCCAGATATCCTTCGTTGTGAAGTTGAAAATCCTGCTTCGATAAACTGGGTGTTCTTTGAGTTCAATATCCTCCGTTGTGAAGTTGAAATTGACTCTGACAAAGATCTTCAAAATTGTACCCATGTGTGCAATGCTATAGATGCAATGTTCTTATGTATGCCTAAAATGCATATGCAAAATTTTTCATTTTAGGATTTTCTTCTTTAGAAAGAAATCTCAATCTCTATCAGTCAGTCTTGGTTTCTTGACTCTTGACAATCTTGATTTTCTGATTCTTGGTTCTTGATTTTTTGATC